AATCTTTACTAGTGATTTCTTCCTGTTTTTTTTGAAACTCTGTATTATTTCTACCCTTTTTTGTTTTGTTTTCTCTAAATAAAAAAACCCAGTTTCTATTTTTACTAGTACATATTTGTAGTACATAATATTTGCATTCTTTGGTGGAGTTGGTACATGTATACAGGACATTTGAAGTCCTGTTTTTATCTTCATTCCCTCCCCCTTTAAACCCTTTCCCACTTGAGAAAGTTCTCTCTACTTGCTATTATTATTATTATTTATATTGGGAATCAAACTTATGATCTTGTACTTGCCAGGCAGGTGCTTGTGCTATTGAGCTATATCCCTGGTGTCTTCCTTCCTATTATCTTTTATTTTGTTCTTTACTTATAATTTGGGTTCCTCACAAAAGAGAGGTATTTAACTTGTGTGTCTGATTTATTTCATGTAACACTATGGTCTCAGGTGCATTCATTTTCCTACAAATGACCCCAGTTCATCTTAAAGATTGTAAGTTTTTAGTAACAAACATTAAAGCCATTTTTCCATAAGAAAGTGGAAAAAATACACACACAGACATACACCTGTAAAAGCACACACAAAGTACTTTGAGAATGAGGAGCCAGGCAGACCTGAGTATAACTCCTAGCTCTTTTACTTTCTGGTTTGACTATGACAGGTCATCCATGCTCTTCCTAGTGTCTACCTCCAAGTTGCAGTGATTAAATCAGATAATACTTGTATAAGTGACAAATTTTTAGCATCTTGCCTAGTATAATACAGGTTCAATAAAATGATATTTGTAGTTATAATGGTGGAGCCAGAAACGAGTGGCAGCTTACATGAATTACTCATACTTGTATAACCTTAGGTCTTTACCAACAACAGTGTGTAGAGCAGTACCTTCTCAATGTAGAACAGCCTGTGTTACCCTCTGATGAGACTAACTGCACCATTTTGACAACAAATGAATAGAAAAAGTGTTATCTCCTGAAATATCCTTGTGCATAACCAGACATTCATATTAACAAGAACCTCTTTAATTTGGTCATTTTCTGATATGACTTGGATCTTCATTTACAGTTAATTCCAATATCATGTGGCATAAACCAAGTGTAGAACCAAAGCTATTTCTCTCCCTAATACACACAGAGAAGTGCTATCTTTTGTTTTTCCTAAATTTCCTATCAAAGCAAACCACCTGATTCTGCTTATATTCTATATTAACTTGTCAAATATTTATGGAGCATTTTGAAAGAGCTAGGCTGTGATGCAGTCAGAAAATAGTTTTCAATGCTTAGCACAAGTAAATTTATTAAATAAATTACTCTTTATTAAAAAATATTAGCTTCCCTTCCAACTGAAAATGTCCGTGTTATATTGGTCCACTTTTTTCACTAGGACCTGACATCTGACAAAACACAGTGAATGCTTACACAAAAGAAGTCATTACAATAAAAGACACACCGTCATCAATCCTCCTCAAAATACTTCCCCTCACTTTGAGCACAGTTACCCCATTACCCTTGCCATTTTCCTCTTTTGTAAGTATTTTTAGTTCCATTTTGTGGCTGCCTCCATGTCCCACACTGGTTCAAAATGTTTACCTTTCGTGGTGGTTGATGATACACCACGGCGTTACCAAGCTGCCTTTCAGTATGATGGCGCTCGGTAGCAGCATTGTTTTTGATCACACTATGTAAAGATACTCACAAAAGAGAACTTGCAGAACACCTTCAGAATGTAGAGTGATGGGATAAGTAGGTTCAAAGCCAGGGGGAGGACTGGGGGTGATAGGGGATGGCAATGTGTCTTTCAGTTTGATACTTTAAAAAAACTTAAATACACACTGTATTTTTGATAAGTCCTTTTACACAATCTAAAGGAGGAGCAGTTTTCTTGGCTCATGGTTTCATCCTGTGGTTGGCCAGCTCCATGGCAGAAACTCCATAATGGAAGGGCCTGGCAGAACCAAAATGCTGTGTTCATGTGGGTGGGAAGCAGAGCGAGTGAACAGCGTTAGAAAGACAGGCCAGTGACCGATCTAGTCCCCAAGGTCACTCTCTGTGAACCACTCAGACACACCCAGAAGTGTCCCCCGAGTGGCTCCCAAACCAAGCAAACAGACAATGCTGAGTGCCACACAGGTATTAGAGCTGACTCTATTCCCTGTGAGACTGCGTAGGAGGGAAATGGGCAGGGACACTTAATGCTCACCATGGAATTCCACTCTTCAGGGTGAGTTGTACAGTGAATAATTAAGATTCACAGCGAATTTCTTCATGGGTTTTTTTTTTTTACTATCATTAAATACTAAGTCACATGCCACTCTTTGACATTTTTATTTTGCGCGACACACAGTTAACAGTGTATGGTATTTTTCAAGGAAGGAGATGAACAAAAATAGCATATAGAAAAATAGGAAGGAAATTATTTCCAGAATAAGCTAAACACATGTTTCCATGAAGAGAATAAAGTTGCATGTAAATCTGAACTTAAGAAAGGAAATTATATGGAATTTTTTATGAAAGGATATAAATTAGCCTAATGTGAAAGATAAAGGTAAAATCACTAGAGACTAAAAGGACAGCATTATAAAAATTTGGAAATCTGATCATCTTTAAGACTTTATTTAAACCTTCAAGACTTTATCACTTGAAGAGGCTCTCCACTAGAAAATTTATTACAAAAACTGCTTTGGAAGAACTGTAACTTACACTTTTCAGTCTAACAGAAATGCATGAGTCCATGATAGAGAATACTTTTATACCTTGAATGAAGAAGGAATATCATATTTCTTTTCATTTAAGTCAACTCATATAAAGACCCATTTCTATAGCCTCACATGTTGCCATTGGTAGGAACTGAAAACATCAGGAACAAACAGACTGAATAAATCAGGCCATACCTTGAAGCTCTATGATTGACTTGGGATACCTTTAAATTCTTAAAGAGGAACAACTTAGGGGGACAAAAATGAAGCAAGTTCTAGGGAGATATAATAATTTATTTCCGATAGAAGAGAGGAGATACAAAATGAGAAATTCATCTGAAATATACTATTGTTGAAATCAGGCAAAGTTTGAAAATAATAAACTGAAGTAAAATTTTTATGTAATAATAAAATCATCTTAGTAGGAATTTCCTAAAGAAAATAACTGATGGGTTGGGGATTTAGCTCAGCGGCATAAGCACCTGCCTTGCAAGCAGGCGGTCGTGAGTTCGATCCCTGGTACCGATTAAAAATAAATAAATAAATAACTGACATGAAGTATATTTTTATACTCTCTCTGCGAGAGAAAGACAGAGAGAGAGAGAGAGAGAGAGAGAGAGAGAGAATGACAAAATAAATACATTTGCAATTTAAAAAATTTATCTTGGGCAATTATAAATGCTAGCATGCAGAACTTTACATACAGCATTTTATTATATGGTTCTATAGTGGTTATTTTTCTCTCATTGCTGACACAAAATATCTACATGTAAAGGTTTAGTTAGCTCACTGTCTGTAAAGATTTGAGTTTATAATCAGAACTCCAAACAGCTATAACCAAAATCTATATCCGGAAATATAATAATCGAGATCCCAGAAATTCAGCACAAAAACAGAATATTAAAAGCTGTTAGAGAAAAGAAACAGATCAGGGTTTACAGATTAGATTATAGGATGAGTTTGCCTCAAAAAAATCTAGAAGGGTGCATGGGTAGGTTGAATAGTGGGTAGGATATGGGGGAAATAAGACGGGGTACATGACACTATTGAAGCGGAGTGACAGTATGAATCATGCAGCTTTCTTATAGTAATCTTTATATTTCTGTAGAAACAAAAATATTAAAAATCTTAAAAGCAATAAATGACACAAAGAAAGATATATTAACAAAAACAAATAAGTGATATGGACAAAAACAAAGTTTTAAACTGTATAAAACCCTGATAAAATGCAGACAGAAGTAGATACATTCACAGAAATAATGAGATTTGTATCAGCAATTAAGGATTAAGCAGAATAGGAAGAATAAAGATAATGACAAATTATATAGTTAGCAAGCTATATTCCCACTCACATATACATATACTTGCACCCAACAAACAGAAAATGTGTATTTTTTTCCAACTTTGAGAAATGTCCAGAATTTGGCCACATTTTACATTATTCTATGGGCTCAGACTCTGACGTGATTTTTCACAATGAGGCCACATTTATTATCACACTTGTAACGCGCTTGCTTCCTTAGAGGGCCTAGGCTTTCGGAAACATAACCTCGTTTCATTCTCACATAAGACAGGGAGACTGGTATAAAAGTAAGGCCAAGGTGTAGCTATGTTCCCAAAGTGGCAAAGAATGATAAATGGCAGTCAGGACCTGAGCTTAATTCTGTTAAATGTCAGAACCTGGTCAACTTTCCCAATGCCATACTTCTGCACAAAAACTTTTTATTTTTATCTTTTGGTTCTGGAGACAGATCCCCAGGCCTTGTACATGCTAGGCAAATGTTCCACCACTGAGTCATACCACAGCCCCTTCACAGCATTCTTCATTAAGACAATTCACAGTTACTGGAGTCTTTTAGTTGCTTCTCCAAATTTACAGCCTTAAAAAATAAACACTAGATTTGGGTAGAAAATGGATACAAAACACTCTTGAAAGGCCCACAGTTTTATCTGCATGTGTCCTCCTGAAACCTGTTACTGAAAATCATTTTTCTTCTAAAGGCTTACCTGTTTTATTTATAGGTATTTTATAAATATTGGGCTGAGTTTTTTGTTTTGTTTTGTTTTGAATGATGCAGATGCTGAAATCCCCAGAGCTCAACTTTATCAGAGAGCTTCACTATGTTTATCATAAACATGAAGATTCTTTCAGTCCCCTGGCATCACTCCAATCCTTCTCCATGCTTGGGACAAGGTGTATTTTCCCAGTGCCCACCAGACAAGCACTGCTTCACAAGGAAAGGCCGAGTCTGTTAAAGAACAGCTTGAATAACTCGCTACATGCAAATGAAGGTACTTTACTCACCCAATTCGTATTTTCAGCATGCCATTGAATAACTCAGGATTATTGGAGATGATCCAGCCAATAAGTATGACCAGTTCTTGCTGAATGACTGCTTCCCTCTCGTCATGAGTATTACACTTATAATAGATGATGTTCTTAATCACTCTTGGAGACAAAGGGTTAGAGATAACTTCTTCTTCATGCCCGAAGGCACCCAGAGTTACCTACAAGTGGCAGAATCTTATTGTAAAAATTTCCTAGCTACTAAAAAGAAAAAAAATTCAAAGCTCAGGATGACTGGCAGGCTGAAATTGCTCTATACAAGCTAGGGAATTAGGCAGAATAACTGTTCTGCTATTTATTAAAATGGTTTTCCAGGTATAACTCCCAGTGGAGTTCATGATGGTTCAGAGTCTGGGTGAGGGTTTCACGTAGGAGAGTGAAGGTGAGTCGACACAAGTAACTATTAATACAAAATTATTTGGAATGACTTTAGTACTAGAAACTCCCCAGAGAAGTCAGAATATATTAAACAGTTTTATTTTATCACACAACTTAATATTTGAAAAATATACCTTTCCCTTCTTTTACCATTTCTCAGGAAGAACCTTCTGTTCTCTAACAGTGTAACTTCAAAGGTAGGTATGAGTTCCCCTGCTCTTGCATAGCCCTCACTTTCCCTGGCATAACACGAGATTGATCGCTCCCCTGTAGAAAGGAATGAGTGAGGCTACCAGACGCCTGGAAAATGAAAAATCACAGATAGAAATGGCAAAGGAAATTCAAAGCAGAAAGTGCTGCTGAACTGGCAAGGAACATGTGGTCTCCCCGCCATCTCTCTATGGCCTTCTGTCTCCCAGAAGAGTCTGCAGCCCCTGCTCCTCATTACCTCTTCCTACCTTCCTTCTATGGACAGGGCAGTTATATGAGACAGGAGAGTAAAAGCATATCAAAGGGCCCTTGTGGTTTCAGAGACGAGGGGAAAGAGTGGAACATGAGGTCTTTTACCCCAATTGTGTAATGCAGTAAATGGCTATTGCATTGTATTACAGTGATATCAACCAGTTAGCCCAAGTCTAATTGTGTTATTAAAGTTCCACTGTGTAAAGAAGAAAACAAAGAGGAGCTACCTCATTGCCTCTGGAAACAATGAGAAGTCTAAACCGCTCTTTCATTCCAGAGAGCATGAGGTAACCTGAAAGTGCTTTGCACAAACACTGTTACTTCAGCTCTCAGGGAGGTATTTCATAGCTGGGTACCCTATTGTGCCTCATTTTCATTTCCTGTTTTTGTAAAGGGTTATGGCACAGTCACAGAATGGCCATGGTGCACTCGGTACTGAAGCTGACCCGCCAGCCTCCTGGAGAGCGGGGGACTATCTCCTTGGGAGATGTGCAGCATGAGGAACAAAGGGCCAGCTGCAGCCTCAGGGCAGGGCAGGCCCACAGGCTTCTGGCAGCAGGGTCTCGGGTTGCAGGGTGCAAACCCTGCTAGAGACTGTACAGAACGGACAGAATGTGCCTAAATCCAGCCCTTCGCCTAGCATCAGGTGCAGTGACTGCAAAGAACTGTAAAGTCTTAAGAATGTTCACATGTAGCAGAATTAACATTATTTTTAGAAACACTATAGGTACCTAAAATCTAGGAAAATTAGCCTATATCCTTTTTTCCTATGGTTGTGACAGTCCAGGGGAAAAATCTGATTCTGGGCTGAAGGCAAGAGTTGTGGTAAGGAAAGGCCCTGCATAAATGATGTCCTATACTTTGGTCTACCTTAGCTGACCAACAGGGATAAGAGAGTTACCTGTCAGTAATTTGTAGAACACAGAAGATAACATATATAAAAAGTAGCTTTTCCACAGAAGATTTTATTAGTGTAATTATTTTTAATTGCTAGTCAATATTACAAAAAATAGATTATTATTCTACCATTCCAGAAGCTAGGTAGCAGGATGAAATAATTTCAGTCTTAATTAGGAGCAATGAAATGTCAGCCACTGGTTGATTCTATCAAAGTATTCTATTAAAGTATTTCTTATTACTAAAGCTTACTGTATCTCTAGGTTAGCTGTCATGAAAACACAATAAAGCACATATATATTCCCAAAAAAGAGAAAGCAAGCAAGCCAGTTTCTATAATCAAAGAATTATTTGGCCAGATTAATTAGCGATTATAGAGAACAAAACAAGAATGCGCAGCTGCTTCTCACTCCACATACCACATGCAGAGGCTCAGTTCAACACATACACCAAATGTCTCTGCAAAGCCAGGTCCCATGCTGGACACACTAACTCTGATGTGCGATGGACGAGACAGGCTCTGACTGCAGGTGCTCACAGCCTAACATCCAAACAAACCAGCAGCATGCACAGACGGAGACATGGCCTGGGCCTCTCATGGGAACCTAGAAAGAGAGACTGCAGCGAGCTAGAGTCGGCTTTGTGACAAGAAGGTGACAGAGTCAGCTTGGTGGAAGAGTCAGAGTCAGAGCTGGGGGAAGAGACGGCCTGGGGGGTGAATGACCCAGGGAACAGCACTGGCCATGCAGACGCTGCCTCTGCCTGCACAGTGTGTTCCAAGGCCCCAAAGGTACTTGAGTGAAGCTGAGGAGGAAATGTGCCCTGCATGACTCCCTTGTATTTTTTTTTTTTTTTGGAACCAGGGATTGAACTCATGACCTTGTGCTTGCCAAGCAGGCGTTTATGCCACTGAGCTAAATCCCCAGCCCTCCCCTGTCTTTGCTCTACCTATCCTACACCTTCCTAGAGTATTGCATTTTATGTATCTGTACCTGTACTGGTCTCAAGTTAACACAGGAATCGAAAGGTATAGTTCTGAGGTGCAGCAGGAAAAAGAGGACAGCCCACTTAGTAACTGCAGCTTTCAGACTGTGTATCTTCTTTGCTTGAGAGAAGAGACTTGTGAAGAAATGCTGGAGCTATTGTTAATCTGTTTAGAAGAGGCCTATGGCACTAAGTTGTGCCAGATTTAAAATTAAGGATTCGACCCAGGAACCTTTGCAGCAGTGATCAAATGAGTGTCTGAAAAGCACATACTTACCTGTTTTCCCTGCACTAAAACGTTAGTAATGGATGGGGCCAGGCTGTCCACTACTTTACTTAAAAGACTTGCTGCACGGCGTACAACCGACCTGGGGGCAAAGAAAAAAGTAGGCCAGATGTTCACAAACCTAAAAGATGATGAATGAAAGGGGCCCTGATTACAGAACTTAAAAACATACATGTTTGGGTCCACATGTGATTATTTGGGGGAAACACTCAGCACAAGACACTGGACCTAACAGCTGAGATTTTCTAGCCAGTGGGACCATCCAGAGAAGTAGGGAGCCATAGTCCTTCACTCTTACCTCTGCTTGCAGGTGGTGTCACAGGTACTGTTGATGCCTTTATCAATTTAAAAGGAAGAAAAGCCTAACTCTCTGACTGAGGTAGGGAGGGAGAACAGGGGGAAGAATTAAGAGAATGTTCTGATTTGCATAGCAAATTCATTATTAAGTCTGTCTCTGGTTGATATGACCTACTCTTACAACCACTTTAAATCTTGTTTCTTTTGGTACTTAGATAATCAAATCCCCGGATTAGAGGACTCAGAACTCAATTTTAGAAAGTGCTATAATGAAATACCAGCACTTTTTTCCTTGATAAAGCTAGAATTGGGGGAAGGAATTCACACTACTATTTTTGCATTCCTGAAAAAGTCTAGGGAGGACAGAATATTTTTTTAAAGGCAGCACATGAATACATAGGACATTTTTTCCTCAGAAGTAAAAGTTCACAGGGAACACTGAGATGTAAATAAAATTAAAATGTAATTTTGAAACTAGCTGCGATGTTTAAAATTATACTCCAGGACACACACAGAAACGGGTCTATAAAAAGCATTTATATTTCTTAATTTCAACATAAATGGACAAGTAGAAAATTAAGCCAATAACTAATAAAGTTAGTGAAACAAACATTTCTTGCTTTTAAAGACGCTTTACCCACACTGTAAGACTGAAAGACATACTTAACCCTCAGAGTGCAAGTAAGCCCACACAATTCAAGCAGCTTGGGTCGCCACATTCTGCGCATGTTACCTGTTTCCCATGCACCAGAAAAGTAGTAATGTGTGGGGCTATAGAGGCAGAGAATTTCTGGGTAAAGGCAGCCCCATATCGTACCGCCAACCTGCACGTGTCAGTGGAAAGCCATAAAAGGGAAAATAGAACAAATAAAACTTCTAGGAGTTTGTTCTTTTAAATAAATAAAACAGCATTCTGAATACTTGGTAGTTAATGATTTATCTAAGATACAAGTATAATACAAAAAGCAAGAGTAGGTTTACTTCACTAAATTAAGACGAGAGACCACATTTGAAACTTGCTACATAAAAATAAATACGTGTTGGCTTAAATGCCCACATGACTGTACTGAGAATTTAGAGTAAAACCTGAAGAAACTACAGGATTATTCCATTATTTCCTCTGGGTAGGAGTGGTATGCTCACTATAAAAATGGAGGTGAAGTATTACGAGACTTCTTTCTAGTCCTCTGATTCTAGAGATCAGAAGCTTGAAGCTCACTCATGTCAAGGGAGTTTCTTATGACTCTACCTGAGACTTCTTTAAAAAATATGCATATGCACTGCTACTTTGGATTCTCCTAAAAAAACTGCTCAAGTTGCATCAGTGTGCCGAGGGCCATACCTTCCTCACTGAATTTAAACAACTTCGTTTAAATTTACATACATATATCTTTATTATTATTTTTAGACCTTGGAAAGGGAATTTTTATGTAGGAAAAATGGTTATTTTTCATGAAGCAGTTATAATCACTGGGGTTCATCAAACTTAAGTGATGAGAGAATTACCTTTGAAGTAGAATATTTTTGCTTATCATAAAATGAGCCACTGGCCTCTCCCTTGAGGCCTTCTGGGATAACAGAACAGAACCTGAAGTACTTGTTGGGACAGAGAAGGTGGGGAGGAGTCACTAGGAATCATTCCCATGGACATTCTCCTGGTTCATTCCCCGTGACGTCTTTATTATTAGCTTTTTCCTTTAATATCTTGGCACAGCCACGCTACAGTGGAATGTAAGCATGTCCTAAGAAAGTGAACAGTCTTGGTGCCATAAACTTGGAGTTTAAAAATAAAAATTAGGATAAATAGTCACCTTGAAGACTGATTCACTGTGTTTAGGACACTGAATATGACAACACAAAAATAAAATGACAATGACACTAATACAAACCAAAGCTTTTTGCTGCCAGCTCTTCTATAGACTCTCTCAATGTGATCAGAAACGGTACCTAGACATTGGATAACAGAGTCTTTGTTGAAGAAAGCTTTTATTTAAATGCATAACATTTATTCCCCTTTAAACATCACTCAACACGACCTTTCACTTTGTTCTTCTAGAACTGACACCCTGATCCATGAAGGTTTTGAACTATCTGACAATTTAATATGTAACTCAAATAAATAGAATGTGAATGTCTCTAGCATTTGTTACCATTTAGTCTGAGTATACATGATGTTGGTATTTATTTCTTGAAATTTAGCTTCTTCTAAAGCATAACATAGACTTTAAACAATGCAAATATTATTTTAATTTACTACTGAAAACAAAAAATAACAGTAAAATAAGTAAGTAAAATTGAACAAATATTGTACAATCTGAAGATAATGACCCTTTATTTGTTCAATGAAAGTTTAACTAAAGCCCCATTATAGGGGCCACCTCCCTTCCAACACGCCTGAGCGTTTACTCTGTCCCTGGCTTTCCTCCTCCAGCTGCATCTTATATGTAGTCTGGCCTCATATCTGTCTTGACAGCACATAAACGCTGTAACAGGACACAGCACCAAAAGGGAATGCAAGTAAAGAATAAGATCCTTAACTTTTTGTTTTGACCTTATTTTTACAGTCTTATAACAAATTAGTTATATTCATATTTGGTTGATGCTTGTGATTTTCAATTTATCATATGGCTTTACAGACTTAAAATATTTAAAGCTTTTCAAAATCTAAGTAAAATTAAATATTACTCCAACTTTATACAAGTAATTTAAAAAGAACTCTCTCAGTATTTTTATGAACTATCTCACATAAATTTTATTTAAAAGCACTACTAAAATCATTCTAAATTCTAGGTTTCTAGTGAAATGTTAAAATTTTTAAAAGCCTACATTTTTTGGCTTAGCTAAAGTTCAAATGTCAATGACTATTCCAAATAAAATCAACATGCTACTGATGCTAGGTTTGGTGGCACACACCTATCACTGTAGCATTCTGGGAGTCAGAGGCAGGAGGATCACAAGTTTGAGCCCAGTCTAGGCAACGTAGTGAGACTATCTCAAACAATAAAATGTAGTAGAGGATACTGCTTACTGGGGAGCCACTGGGTTCAAGACTCAGTATCACATAAAAATTCTGTTTGTATTCTATAGTTTTGATACTAATTTTCTAACTAGAGAACAATTTTGTTTGAAATCTGCTTAATACTCAAGAGGTTTATTTTAGCTATAGTAATACAAAAACTAAGTAGATTTCATGTGAATAAATAATTATGATTAGTTCATTACTAGAACCACAAATATTATTAATTATACTTCTGTTTAGGACACTAACTCAATTTCTAATTCTAACCAAATCAGCATGCACCTCTTAACAGACTATATTCAGATGTGTTGAAAATTTCTGAGTAGCTAGACATTAAGCACTTCAAATATATTCTGTATTATAAAATGCCAGATGAAGCAGACTATGGTGTAGAACTCAACTATTCTTTACAGTAGTGATCCAATATACAAGTATGGATTTCAGGGAAAAATGAGTTTCATTTTTAATGTAGGCATAATAAGACATGATTTATTTTTATTAACTATACTCAGTGCACAATTCTATTAAATGCCATGTTCCATTCCAAATGGTTGCTGCAGACCACGAGGGAGCTAATTTTTATACATATAGCTATTCAATATTATTCCTGAAAAAAATTACAGGAAATAAAACTGGAATGAAACTGTCAATAAACAACCATGGAATTATTAGAGTTTAACAGTCACGGGCAAAATCCAGGCTCCAACACTGTTCAAACAATTAGAGAAACAATCAAGGATCACCACACAAAGGCAATTTAGGAGTTTGTGTATCAGCTTATCCCTCTTCTGGGGGGAGGGGTCTGAATGAATGTTCTCCACTTAAAAGATAAAAAGGTTTACCAGAGAAGGAAATAACTTGTAATGTTCTAGGGAATATATTTTATGCATGTCTGATACATGTTGATGAACAGAAAGGTCCTGTTGTTTAAAATGTTCTCATATAGATGTTCTCTTACCTTCCATAGTGAGGAAGTTGGGGCCTTCTCTTTTGAGCAGTATACCCAGCAGGATGGCTTGGCTGGCCAGACAAGTGCAGTCCTGAAAACGTAAACAATCATGAGGAACGAGAATGACATGAATGTAACAGTTACCATAAGGAATAACTAATCACAACACTGCATGACAGAGAGAAAATACCCCATTATGAAATGGAGGAAAGATAAAATGTCATTGATATAACAAATGTAAGATGACGTTACACAGCTATTTATCTTAGATACTGGTGAACTAGAGGGTGGACGAGCTGGCTTCCTGGGGCAGCAGGATTTAACCAAATTTTCCAGGAAACAAAATAAGCAATGAACGGAAAATATGTTATTGATACATACTGATACTGATTCTGCCATTCTCTGAGACTTGGCCAGGTCATTTAAACTCTTCCTTCTTGACCATACTTACCAGTGGGAAACCATGTCACTATAAGTCTGTCCTGAAGAGATGCATGACAGGAGGGAAGATATGTAGAGCACTCACTATGGGTTAGGGCCCTGTGCTCTGTGCTTACGACTGCTACATCACACTCATCCTTGCATAGATTTATAAGACATAGTCAATAACAAGGACTCAGAATGTCTAGAAGGGTATGCATCTAGGCTACGTGCTCAAATCTGGATAGAACAAATAAGACAGCAGAGTGCTCACAGCTCTGCCAAAGGAATTTCATTTCTTTTTCAAAAATATGAAGAACCTCAGGAAAGATAAAATATTAGGTTGCTACGATACACATGTGGTCAGAGTACTGCATTCCTCAGTGACAGCAAAGACTTTAAGGGAGCACTGGACCTCAGCAGGACAGAAGATGGAAATAGAGATGGGAGAAAAAAAGCACTGTAAGAAAACTATGATAACCCAAGTCAACATCACTGACTTCTAATGACTCATGACTCACCCCATATTCTCATAGCTAACATAACCCTGTTTTCTGTGCTCTTGAGATATTCATGTTAACTTTATACCCAAGGAACAACCTCCCGTGCACAGCCATACATGTCATCATCCCCTGAGGACAAGAAAACACAGCCTAACTCTGGCCGTGCCCACTCCGGCAGCCTGCCTAGGGCCTTATGGGAACTGCATCATCCTCACATTCAGTTTCTGAAGAATTTCGTGGGTGGATTTGTTTTTCCACTCAGCAATGGTGATGTCTGGCTGCTTTATCAGTTCAGGAGCTTCAGGGGTGCTGCTTTGTCGTTTAACTTTTGAATGTTTGGGAAATTCCAATTCTTCAAAACTCTTAAATTCTGGAAGCCTAGAAATGAAAAGCAAGTGTCTCAGATTTCCTGATTTTAAAGTGCAAACACAAGAAGTGGGATACCAAATAACCAAAAGGTACGTACTCTTCTGTGCCACTGATTCGTAGAAAGTCAAGTTGTTCTACTACAGCTCCTGATATTAGTGTCTGAAATGTGATATGAAAAGATTCAAAATTCTTAAATTCATCAATCTATACTCTTATAGTTTATGCATGTACATTTAATACTTCAAAGATAATCTATATGTCTAATAACAAGTTTAGGAATCATCATCAATAGAAAAGTCAGTATGAGATGAAGTCTGTTCTCGGCATTACTGGTTTTTAGTTTAAAGTTAGAATTAAAATACTTCCGTACACATTAAAATAAAAATATTCAAATTGTTTTATATAAAGCTGCATCTGAATTCTGCTAGGATTATATTTAAGGGCTATCCAATGACAAGGTATGTCAAACCTCCATTTTACAGGGTTGTGAAGGTATTGATCATTTAAACCAGTGCTTCTTTGTACTGTGGCATGTGGCAATCTACATTCGTAGATTATTATTATTCGTAGATTATTATTTTCCATTAGTTCCTCATTGTATGCTGGACAAATGAAATGAGTCTGACTGAGAACCCAGTTTTTGTTTGTCAGTGACTCATGGAAAGCAGTACAAATGATTGATAACCTACAGTGACTTTTAGCATTATTCGTCACTTTTAAGTATCTGCTAAACTGTCATAAAATTGAGAAATGCACCATACAAATAAACCATAGATTATTATTTTTAAAAACCAGACAATTCTTCAATTAAAATTGTCCTACATGTGTTATTTCTCTACTGTCTTGCTTCTCATTTCAAATGTGAAGAAACATGATGTAGTGAAGGTTATTTTTGTTCACAAACCACCCAAGTGGTTCTGCCTTCTCTTCTAGTAGAAAGTCATAAAGTAGTTCATCAACAAATATTTGTCTATAGCCGGCAGGATGGACATATTACCAGAGCCACCCCAAAGCCTCCTTACAGCTTGAGATTGAGTTGAGGGAGGTCAAATATGCCTGCCCCTTTCCAACTCATGCCCCTGTCAAATCACTTGGGCGATCAGCTCCCTGATGGCAGACTCTGACCCTGAGCAGAGGGCAGTGCTAAGCATATCAGGGTTTGTTGAATGACATTTCCTAGCATGTAGGCTAATGGTTCTACATTTAGTAGTAAACTCTTTAGTAAACTGATTTGTCACACAAATTTTAAGAACACCTATGCCAAGCACTATATTGGGTACTGAAGATACAGCATGAACAAAATCTGTAAAATCTTCACTTCTTTGAAACTGACCTTATAGGTATGTGTAAGGGGTAGAAAATAAACAAACTATACATATCAGATGACAGTAAGTGCAAAATAAGAAAATATGTGCTAAGCGGAAATGAGAAGGTAGGGGAAGAGAAGCCAGGCAGAGGAAGAGGAATATGTTAGCTGTTTTATACAGGTGATCAGAGAAGACCTCTAGAAACTTAAGGAAGAATGGCAGTCAGTAATACAAAAACGAAGGAAAAGGTGCACCGAGCTGAGGAAATACGACCTGAGGTAAGAGCTCGCTTAATTTGTAAGAAGTAGTAAGAAAGACAGTGTGTTGAAATACAGTGGACCAGTGAGCCAACGGGGCCAACAGGAGACGAAGTCAAGGATACAGGTCCAAGCTACGGGAAAACCAAGACCTTTGAAGAACTTTGGTTTCCACGGCATGTGAGGGAGGAAGTTACTGGAGGCTTCTGCTAGATGACATAATCCAACTGCCTCCATCTAGGTAGAGTGTGAAGCAGCTACACGTCTTTCAGTATGGATTCAGGAGATAACTGCAAGTCTTGGTAAGAGATGATGGTAGCAGGGCTCATGATGTTAGTGCTAACGGCAATAGGCAGTGGTTAAATCTAGATAGAATCTTAGGGGAGAGACAACAGGATTCAATAATAGATCAAGAGTTATGAATTCTCAAAGCTGAAAATGTAAGAAAGTAATTTTATTTAGTATTTTCCACTTCTACTTGCATACTCACCCATATACTCTTAATTCTGTCCCTATAAAGTAAATTTTCAGTCTGAACAAGTGCTAACTTCTAGTAAAACTCTCTAGGGTTTTTGATTTTAAAAACTTCAGTTGGTTATAGAGGCTCCTAATTTAGTTTTATAAGAAGCATAATAATTTCCTAGGTATTAATACCAGAGTTCTGATAATAAGCATATAACGTAATGTTGCATGCTTATATCAAATGAAAGTAATATTCAAAAGACATTCTAATCTAATACACTCAATTATATGGCATCAGGTCTTTTTGTAGTCAACATCCTACTTAATGTTTTCTCCTTCCTGTCAGTGTCTATCTGGCTGTTTTCTTGTTGGGCTTCCCATCTAGAACAAGTTCTATGAGGTCAGGAACCTTGTATATTTTATTCAATTATAATCTCAGTACTGAGAGTGGGAGATCAATAAATATTTTCTGAATCAATATACTTATATTTACATAGTTTCCTAAAAAGAGTAGTAAGTAGAGACGGAGTGTGGTGATGAGTAAAGGTTGGTCTGAGTTTACAAACCATAAAGTAACAGACACAGGATACTAGTTTCACATAAAATAAGGACAGTTAAGCTCAAGCAAAATGCCAAAGAAACACATAAGAAGATAAAATTCATTCCAATCCTAGAGGCTTTACTAAAAAACAGAATTGACCTAAGTTGTAAAATTAAGATATAACTGAAATCGCCCTCCCTGTGAGTCAGCAGAAGCCAAGCTGGGTCAGGGAGGACCCCACCAAGCAGACATAAGCTATGCAAACCACGCAGGGCCCAGGAAGAGAGAAGCCAGACTGCCCTCCCTGAGAGCTGACCAGCGTATGGGCTAAGAATCAAGACCTACTCCCCTACCCCAGGCAACCTCCTGGTTCAGACAACAGGCTGAGTTGATAGCAACTGAGGTAACAAAAAGAATTAAAGGTTTGTATTATTTGATTGACTTTGTAGGCCTAAAGCCGGTAGTCTGAGCATCGAGTAGGAGGATAACATATAGCAAATATGGGAGATTTGCTTCTGTCTTGTTTTTGAAATCCAGTATTGATCTCATTGATTTATTGCTTTGTTTTTGGTCAATGTTCTGTTTTGACTGGTTTTATTCTGTTTTGTTTTATTTGATTTCACTATGTCTGATGGAATGGATAACTGTTGTGAAGATATCAAGATATATTATGGTAGCCATTGTTGATTTCCTATTATCCTGCTTTGAAGTTCTGTACCACTTTCACTGTCTTATTTTGATTGGCTTTACTCTGTTTTGTTTTGTTGGTTTTATTCTCTTTAAAATAAAAAAAATAAGGTGTAATTTAAAAAACAAAAGAATGCAACTCTGCAGTACAGTAAACAACACAATGAGGAAAAATTCCAATTACTTTCAGAGATTTTGATGGTATCTAGTGTATCTGGAATGTGGAAAATGTGGTCAGAAATATGTGTGGAGTCATAGTCTGGTAACAAAGCTGGGAAAAAAGGCTGAGTCCAGTGATGACAAGCTACAGCTCACACGCTAAAGAAATTTCAAAGGCTTGAAATAAAATTCAGGAGGAACACGAAACTATGCTTTTGACTTATATTACAGAGAAGGTGAAGGGGAGGCTATGGAGAACGAGGGGATTTTTTCTTAACAGTATAGAATCTGGGTTTTGCAAGACACAAGTTCTAGAGACTCGTGGTATAACAATGCAAATACACATAAAAACGGCTAAGATGGTAAATTTTATGTTATGTATGTTTCCCATGATTTTAAAAAGATCTAAAAGTACATATTTACACTCATCAAATCTTCTAAAATATTGCTGATTTAGATGACTGATGATTATAATCCTAAAAAAGAGCAATTATATGTAAGTATGTGCCATATTATGATATTTGGATCAACAACAGACATCATATATGGCAGTGGTCTCATAAGATTCTTCTAGAATTAAAAATTCCTGTCATGCACTGATGTGGTACAGTTGCCATGTACAGTGTATTAGTCATGTCTGTGGTGATGCTGGTGTAAACAAACATACTGCTGGCTAATGTATCTACTCCACTGTACTTTATATCACTGTTTTAGTGTACTCCTTTTACTTATAAAGCTAAAATGTTTACTATAAAAGAATGTGCTCTGTTCTGCTGGCAATAACCTCCTACATCTTACAATTACTCTTGTCTTTGGCCGTGTCAAGAGATCTAAGCCTTCCTGGTTTGTGTAAGGATATTCTTAATGACAAAACTGTTTTAAATGCAATTGTGAGAATGGATGCTCATCATGAAGGATATTTGAAATCTGGAGGCAGCAGTACTAGGAATTGAGCCCAGAGCTAATCTACCACTAACCCCCCGCGCCACCCTTTTATTGTGAAGCAGAGTGTCACTAAGTTGCCCAGGCTGTCCACAAATATGTGATTTTCCTGCCTCTTAGCCTTCTGAATAGCTGGGATTCCTGCCTCAGACTCCCATGTCGAGCTAACGTTTTGTTTTTGATAGAACACTTTTAATTTAAAAAAAAAGAGAAAAAAAAAAAAAAAGAGGATGATGTGCCTTCACTTGTATTTTTTAAGATAGAAAACTCTTTTAAGGATGAAAAACAAAACTACTGACCCCTCTCTAACTCTTAAAGCACAACTAAAAATAAGACAAAGTACGAAATGGATATCAAATTCTGCTTCTTAGACTACAGCGATGAAAGTTCAGGTGCTTGAATGTAAAGAATTCTGACACAAGAATGGGCAGGTGTGAGCTTTGCCTCCTCTCTACAGTGACTGTCTCAGGGCTGCAGCAGTCACGTTCCCATGCAAGGCTCCAGTTGGGTATCTGTAAATTATCTCAAAGTCTGGCACAATTTGAACTTTGTGTACAAGGATATATAAGTAAAAAGTTCCCCAATATCAGGTGATGGAGAAAAGGGTTTCTTCTCAACTTTAAAACCTTATGTTGCCCTTGACATTAAAAATCCAAACAAGAAATCTTCAATTCATTGTCTTAAGAAAGAATGTTACCACTTTTTGCACTTTTTAATTTGTCTATGATTCTTCAAATGAATTAGAAATGTTTGCAAAAATGGAATACTCAACTTTAAAGCAATATAAGTCAAATTTAGCCCAGAAATGAGAATCTGTCATTTTTTAAATGCCCAACTGACAATTACTATATGTTGAAAGTGAAAGCCAGAAAATATTTTAATTTCTTTAAAAAATTATAATAAAATTTTTACACTTTGCTTTTAATATTAAATCAACTAATACACCTAAAATGTATTTTTGTGTGACCTGAGGTGATATTCTAATTTAATTATAACCAAAATGTTTGTTAAATAAACTATAAAACCATCAGCTTATGTTTTTTTCAAGTTTTGAGTTTATGCTGAGGCCTCTTACCAATTAGCTATGCTGTGTCATCAAATAGAGTAAGTGCCTACTACACTGTTTGAGTTCTAAATTTTAGTGATTGAAATTTCCCTTTAGAACTTCTGTTTTATTTCTTTTTTATAGTTAAAGTTCTTAATAAAGATCTACAAATTTTTATCTGATTTCTTAAATATACAGGTCTATTTCTGTTGTGTTTCATCTTCGCTCTTGTTTGATCACCTCTCCTAATTTGCCAGGCAGTTTTTAAATGAAACAGAGACACTGCATGAATCACTGGAGAAATACTTTCAGGGTCTGGATGATATTTTGTACTGTTTATGAGGACTGAATTATTTCTGACTCCCCTTCAAAGCCTTGACGTAGTGTCTGCTTCCACTTCCCTAATTTTGAGGGAAGATATTACACACAGGAGTGCAAGGCACAGTAGAGAGCAGGAACTGCAAGGATCAGAGGTGAAAGTTCAACACTTCACAGTAGGACCCTGGGCTCCCTTCTCCCCCAATGATCTCAGCATCCAGAAGCAAATCATACATCCTTTATTTATGAGATTGGATGTTTATTTCTGGAGACACTGAAGAGCCTCACAGAAAAAAATCTCCAGATATTGACAATTGAAGCTTCCCTCTAAAAGCCTTTGCCATTACATCATTTTACAGGAGACTTCATCAAGGCATGAACCTTTTCTCCACAATACAACTTCCTATAAACTTTTTACTTTTAAAAATGAAGGGATAGCTAAAGACTGCCAGATTATCTGGCAAATACCTTTAATGTGAAAGACAGAAGATGAAATCTGAAAGACAGAATGCACATGAGAGGAAACTTTTAAAAAAATTTCTAGTTAAGAACACAAAGTATAACATATATAAAACAAAAGCAGATTACTACGAAAAAGGAAATTTTAAAATATGGTTACCAAAACTCAATAGAAAAGCTGCAAGATAAAAATCAAAGAAACTGCCCAGGAAGATTTACAGTAAGACAAAGCAACAAAAGACATGGGAAATATTATTGTTTATATAAAAATCCATCAGGTATACAAAATACAACCACTGGTCAGGATATGTAAAGATGTTATTTATAACACTACCTATGTTCGTCCTTCTTTATCAATTTTCTTTCTTACTCCATATGAATAAAGACCCAATATGACAGTCCCAATTGTTTTACAGAAAATGACATTAGTCCATATGGAGTACAATTTGAGTAGTTTAAGGTTAAAGGTCATAAAAGAGGAGAAGTGTCATTTTTAGCTTGAGATATTTTGTAGAATTAGTCTTTAAAGTTTGTTAAAACTTCAAAGCCCATGGAGCTTGAAAGAAAAAGGTTATTTCAAGGAGAGGAAATGGTGGGAACAGTAGGTCCAGGATAAAGCAATTAATCTGTATGGCTGAGGCACAAAAGCTGTTGAGAAGGTAACTGGGGGAGGGGCTAGCAGAGAATCAAAGCAGGTTTCCAAGTGAGTCAGCAACTGTGAAGATAAGGCCACACTGTGCTATTTGAACGGAAGGAGGACACTGACTGAAAGCCACAGCAGAATAAGGAAAAGAGCACTGGACCAAAAGTCAGCTAGCTTGCCTATATTATACAACAGGTCATTTCATCACTATATATGGGCTCAAGATTCTTCAAATGCAAATTTGAATTTTAAAATGAACTACTAAGGTTTATAATTCTGTATAAGAAACACTAGTGTAATCAGATAAATTGACATGGTGACAACAGGAATAAAAGATAAGCACAGAATAAAACTAAGTCAAAATCTTAAACTGAACAAATATTAAGAAGTACAACTATACTGTAGATTAACTGTTCTGAACACAGAAATATTGAAATTTAACAGACTACCTGTAGACGATCAACATGGACTTTGACTCCTCCAATCATTCCTTTTTTAAAGGCTGCCAGCATATCTAATATGGGGTTGAACCGGCTACCTCTGAAAAATGTAATAAAGAAGAAAACTAACATATTAGTAAGAGGGAAATTAACAATCTAATACTATCTTTTATATATGTAAAGTACTATGCCACACACTAAGATATGCAAAAGTGCAAGGAATTCTCGCTTCCAAAGGGTTCATAGTGTTAATGGCCATGAGATACACACACTTCTTTCATTGACCTACCTTATATTGTCTTCCCGGATAAGAACGAGAAAAAGTGGGCGTCCATGCATTTTCCAATATTGTTTAATGAACTGTAGTGCATTCTATCAAAACATAAGAGCAAGGCAAGGTGTAATGGCATAGAACCTAAGAAGATGAGGATCCTCAACCAGAAGAGGCCAAATCAACAATACTCACATATTAATAGAGTACATAATCAAAACCTAGATAAGTCAGAATACTTAATACAGAAAGCATTTTAATCAAACTGCTCTTAAAAGTAATCACACCATACATATTTTAAGGCTCTCTTACTGTGACTGTCTATGCATTCTCTTGCACTTGCTCACATGTGTATGCTTTTTATCTCTCTGCCTAAAAAATAAAATTCAAGAATGGTACCAGAGTGAAAAAAATCATCTCTGTCTCATTATGTAGAAGAATAATTTTCACTCCATATTACTATGGATTTATACTACAGCAGGTAGTGGAAATTCATCTGAATTTATTCACACCATCAGCAATATGGAGGGAATTATTTATCTGACTAAATAATTTATCTGGTCATCATTCTACCACCAATCTATCTAGCTTTCCAATCATATCAAAGATCTATATAACACTTCATCAAGCACCAGGCCCCAGTCTGAATGGTTTATATATACTAACTTATTTAATTCTCAGAACAGCTCTACTATGAACCAGTCTTACAGATAAGACAGCACTACCCAGTTAAATAACTTGCCCAAGAACACACAGCTGCTAGGTGACAGAGCCAAGATTTTAACAAATGCAGTCTGGCTCTAGATTTCATGCTGTGGAATATGACACTAAGATTTTCTACTCTGCAAATAAAAAGGGTAGTGGGGGAGATTTTAACTTCCAGACTTAGAGTTGAGGTCTTACTGAGCATACTTCGTAAGAAAACTATTTTGCTAATTTGACTTTTGTTCAAAAAGAGTTAAACGATTATTGCCATTTTAATAGTTTAAAAATAGTTTCTCTACTCTTATAAACTATATTTTTTCATTCAATTTGTAGAAAGGCAACACGGCAACATTATGTAACACAGCATATCGTTATGTAGGACAGATTTCACCTATTATTCTAATGCTGCTAGTAATCTAAATTCTTTCTCTAAAGGTGATGCTTTATTTTCAACTTTTACACTGCATTAACTCATTGTAACAGACACTCAGGAACACTCAATTTAACAACCAATGATAAAATCAGTGGAAACAACGTCATCCCATTTCAACCAAAAGGTATTATGAAGCTACCTTTATGTCATCTATCAGCAGTAAAACATCTTGAGACATGTAGAAATCACTTAAGTCAAAGATGATAGGGTAACAAACCACAGTCTTTCCTAGAATGCGATAAATCTGGAAAGAAAAATAAAAAATTAAATACAAAATATACTAAAAGCAAAGCAAAGGTGGAATACCATAAATCCCAACAAAAGTTAAAACTGATGCTTAAATCTGAGTGACCAAATAACTTACAAAATTCATACAATATTATTGAAAAGTTTCTTGATTCAATCGGTATGCTAATAGACTACCTCTAAGTAGATCTCTCCCAACAGGATGAGTGAAACCTGTGTTTGACTAAATATTGCTATAAATAAGGCATTTCACAAATCTTAGAAATAACGTAGCAAGATGATGATTTATTCTTAGAAAGTTTCTGTGATAGAAGATTTACTTGCAGAAAATGATAATTCATATAATTAGCCCAGGTATAAATGGTATATCATTTTACCAGGAAATATTATTATTATTATTATTTTTTTTTTTTTTTTTTTTTTTTTTTTTTTAAGAGACAGGGTCTCACTATATTGCCCAGGCTGGAGTGCAGTGGCTATTCACAGGCGCGATCCCACTACTGATCAGCACGGGAGTTTTGACCTGCTCCGTTTCCGACCTGGGCCGGTTCACCCCTCCTTAGGCAACCTGGTGGTCCCCTGCTCCCGGGAGGTCACCATATTGATGCCGAACTTAGTGCGGACACCCGATCGGCATAGCGCACTGCAGCCCAGAACTCCTGGACTCAAGCGATCCTCCCACCTCAGCCTCCCGAGTAGCTGGGACTACAGGCGTGCGCCACCACGCCCGGCCCCAGGAAATATTATAATGCAAATGTTACTCTATGAGGAAATTTTCTGAGTACCTTTGATGTACCGAGGCAGCCAATCGGCCTGTCTGGCCTTCCAGAGAGTCCTAGCTTTTCATTGATACCCAGGTGGAAATAAGCCTGTAAGACACAAATTTGTAAATGAGGCAAGAATTTCATGCTTTGCTTGGCTTTGCTCTTCTTCTCTTTTCTTACCAATTTTCTTCCTGGGATTATTGGCCTGTTAATTTATGATCTTTTGGAGAAAAACAGATCAGGACTACCAGCAAGCTGCAGGAATCAGTTTAGATTTGGAGTAACTGAGTTTTTGAGAGTGAAACAGTTGTCATAATATAAAGTATGCATGGCTTTGACTCATAAAAGGACTCAAAAGACACAAATACTTTCTGTGTCACTAAAAAATTCTAGCTACTTAAAAAAAAAGGCCATTAATCCACATTTAAGTTATTTCCTTCCAAAATGGAATTATCTTCATTTTTCTGATTGTACGAGTTTTATAAACAAAAGTATATGGTCTTGTTTATTTTCACAATATTTTATGCAATTATTTGACTTTCCTATATGTTGAAAGGGTATAATTTATTGTGTAAGCCCTGGAAACACCAAAAGTAAACATAGGACCACAGATTTTAAAAGGTATATAAATACATATTCATATTATACACATATATCAATATATGCATAAGTACATAAATGGGTTCAAACAATATATAATCTGTAATGTGTCCCATTTTTTTTTAAATTTCACACTGTGGCGTTATAGTTTTAAGACATTAAAATGAACCTATGCATTTTCTATACTGCATATTTCAAAGCTGAAATATAGTAACTAGGGAAAAAATTCTGTGAAAGTATTAGAAGACAGGGAAACATCTCTATGAAGCAGATTCTTCCAGAATTTCTGTAAGGTAAAAGAAGACAGCCTTAGAAATCTTGGAATTAGGAGTTAATTAGGAATTAGAAGTTAATTTTGGAGCTGAGCATTCAGTTCAACCTAGACGTTCCCTTATCCTAATTCTCTGATGAAGGTAGCTCTCTAATTTTATCTTAAAGAGAATTCAATAACATCTTTGGACAGTGTACAGTTATATCCCAGAATTGTGTCCTAGACTCCCTTGATCACAGAGAATATATCTTCTCTTTGCAATAAAATGCCTAGCCGGTCACCCTCTAAAAATAATGTACAAACTGACACTGCCTTTGCAGTGCACAGACTTCTTTGTCACTGTCTTGGGTCACAATAATACTTGTTAAAAGAGTACCATGTTCAATTCTTATGTGTGAGCATTTTCCAGCACAGTAAGTGGCTATCTGTATGTTTGATACTTTTTTTTATTTGTTCCTTTTTTACTGGGTATTTGTTATTCTTTATGATTTGTAAAAGATCTTGAGAATATTATTCTTTGAATCAAATATTTTATTCAGCTTGCACTTCTTCAATGCTGTTATGAAATGGGAGAACGACTGCCTGGTAGGTCAAACATGCCAGATGTAGTATTTCAATATAAACATTTTTCTACTAGGAAATTTTTTAGTACCAGGGATTGAACTCATGACCTTGCACTTGCCAGGCAGGCGCTTATATGCCACTGAGCTAAATCCCCGGCCCCTACCAGAAAATTTTATAAGCCCCTTTGATGTACTAGGTAGTTCATGCTACATTTAGATAAATTTTTAAATCATTTTCTTACTGCTTCTTGGCACTGCTGTCATTCTAAGAATGGACTTTCCCTCCCAACAGCTATAAATATAGTCTAGTTTTCCTCTAGTGATTTTATATTTAAGTCACATTAAAATATTTAAATTTTTAAACTGCCTGGAATTTGATGACAGGTAAAAATTTAAATTTTCTTAAATGGAAAATCAAACTGTTTCTTTTCTTTCTTTCTTTTTTTTTTTTTTTTTTTTTTTTGGTGGCACCAGAGATTGAACTCACGACTTCATGCTTGCCACGCAGGCACTATGCCACTAGGCTAAATCCCCGGCCCAAACCAACTGTTTCTACACAATTTCTTGATTGTGATATGAACTGACTGCAGATAGCAGCTTTATCATACATAAAATTAATGTGCTACCAGAGTTCTCTGTTCATTCTGTTGTGTCAGAGTGAGCTCTTCTCTTTCTCCTTTAGAATTGTACATTCTTAGAAAATAAAAGCATTCCTGACTTGGCACTGTGCCTGGCATATAGCTGGTATTCAGGATACAGTTGATGGATAATGAGGGAAAAACTGAGTGTCCTCCTGAGCTTCATGTGCTTTGAATATTGATTCTGCAATAAGCATGGTATAAGCCAAGTGGCCAGAAAAAAGTACTCTATAAGGATATACTCAGCAACCTTGAAACTAGCACATAACAGTAGATGGAGCTCCCTTTCCCTCAAATACTTTCAGTTTTTCAGAAATAAATGTATGCTAAAGTATTTTACATTGCTTTTAGACAAGTGGTTATATTAATTAATCATGCACAAGCTAAAAGACACCAATCTAGGGAGAGTTCCTTTAAATATTACTCTTTATTATAGTAAAAGATTGTTCTCAATGTGTCAACTATGGGACAGCAGGTCTCTGCCAAGTAGACAGATCTGCATTCCAAGGTGCAGATCTGCTGCCCCCACCTGTGCACACTCACACTGTTTAAAGTGCTGAAATATATAGCAATGACCACCTACAAGTGTGGAAGTGCTTCACACCAGGTCTGCAAGAGCACAATCCTGTGTCCAGATCACCTTGAAGCAAGTCACACCAGACACCACATCATGAACGCTAACAACACACCATAAAATCCCTGCTCTTTGCTATTTTTCCTTATATCCTTTTCAGAGATTAAAATGAAGGCAGCTTCAGCTTCTCAGAATAGGATCAGCTACTGATGCAAGAAAATGTGCATTAACCAAGATTGAGAGCAATACATTTACTTTCAAAAGATTGACTCATAAGGAACAGTGTGCTGCCGTACATCTAGAGGATGAATCCCAAAAAGCCATTAGTTTGGAACACGGAGGCTGCAGCCACAAAGAATAAGCCACCATCCTGACATGCGCACAGGGTAACTGGTTCTTGATCACATTTTACCTTGGTTGTATCACACTCCCAAAGTGCAAATCATTTGTTAATATCAACTAATACAAGACAAACAAAGTCAGACCTGCTGTAAGGCTTCACCACCTCCATAACAAAATGCTTTCCACTGCCTCTGTGATTCCACACTTTGCACAACCATCTATTATAGCAGTAATCAAAGAGACTATAATTATTATTTTCACACCACTAGACTCACAGTTCATCTGAGTATTCTGCACTAGCAGGTGTTTGCTGGAGAATGAATAAAATATCATATTCAAGTAATGTGCTAGCCATGCTGGCTTTTCATATCTTGACTCCACGTTATCTGGTACAGTACAGACTCACCTACCATAAGAGTTTGGCTAATATTAACTAGACTTGAAGTTATGTGTTTCATTCATGTGTTTGAGTTCATGTGTTTCAAGCTTTGTTACCATTCATTAGAATGTTCTGTGAGAGACCATGAAAACAGCCTGCCTCTGAAGACGTGCACTATGCAGGAGTCTTGGATGCTGTGCCATTGCTTGGCTTGTAGCTCCTCCATGCCCTTTTGGTCTCGTTTATCCTCCTTCACTATTTACATTGTGGTGTGATTTTAAAGTGTAAACTACTTAAAGGATTTTTGTGTTTTCGCTTAATCTGTCTATTAAGAATGGGGAAGTTGGCTCTAAATTTGTTTGAGGGGAGACTTAAGGATCAACAAAAGGTGGTGCTGCTGGTGATCTAAGTCTCAATTCTGACTTGAGCTGCCTCTGGGCAAGGCTCAGCCTGACTGCCAGAACAGTTTTCCTCTGTACTGTGTGTCCCCAGCCTCTAAGCCTTCATTGCCTCTTAACGTGCAGGCTTTGAGCACAACCACTTATATCAACCCCAACAACACATTAACCACTTCAGACAGACTGTAAACACTTATGCCAAACACTGGGGAGTCTGTTCCTCTATTTTTTTTAACAATTACCAAACAAAATTGGTAGTTTATGAATAACCAGTGAGAAACAATAATTTCCTGTCTCTAAAAACACAACACAGGTATTTGAGAGAACTGTATGTCAAAGGCTCAAAAGTCACCTTTTAGTCTCATCCCAAACTTATGTTCTCCATTAAAAATAAACTCAGATATTATTTTATAGTTTCTTTGAGACTCAACCAACTAAAGAGGAAGGAGTTACTTCAGACTCCAAATAGGGAAGTAGCGGCTATCAAAAATATTTAGATATGAAGTTTTTAAACAGTTAATAAAGGGGAAAATTAAACAAAAATATAAAGGATAATTTTACACATGACAATAAATTAAGATAAATTTGTTATTTAAGTGCTTAGCCTATGGTTAGTAGTAGAGTTTAGTAAAGAGCAGAAATTGACAATCCATGTAATTTAATATACATAATGAAGGGTTTTTTTTAGTTGAAAAATAAGTAGGCTTCCCAATTTAATTAGAAACTTTGGGATTAATGACTCATCTCAGATTGGATTTCAGTTATGCATCCTGTCTATAAAGTAAGTCCCACCATCCAGCTCTGCTATCTCCACAAAGCAGAAAGATCCAGAGTCACTTACTTTAACAAGCTCCTGCTGCGGCCATATCTGAATGGGCTCTACTTGTTGAGGAGTCTGAGTTTGAATACCGTATGTATTAAGAAAAACTTGAAGGCTAAAGAATTAAAGGGAAAAGAAGAGAAACACATTGTTTTGATAATATATTTATAGTTCAGGAAATGTATGAGGGAGATAAAAGGCAATGACATACTATTAATTTGTAATATCAGTAATATGCCACATGCACAGAATAGAGAGATCCTCTAGGTGGCTTCCAAAGGGTCATGTGAGCTTCAGGACTGACAATCAGGGTGAATACTAATTTTGGGAATTCGAATTCCTATAATGCATCTGCATTACTTTCTTAAAACTCTACCCCAGGCAACGCCAGCACTGGCTACAATTTTTAATATTCACATCATCTAAGAAAAAGTATTTTTAAATAGAAAAAATAAGGTTGTGCTGGCACTTAAAATGACATGATAACATCCTTGAAACCATGTCAAGAGACCAATGAAATTAGTATCTACTACCATGGTCAATATGGGAAGCATAAAGCAACAATTTCCCTCCCCTGCCCACAATAGAATATACTACTCATACCGTTGGCTCTCTGCTACAAGTGCTACATGAACTACCAAATCATTTTCCAGTGGGCCCTGTAATATAAAATAAGAGAAAAAACATTTAACAAGATCTGGCCACCATCAGTTACAATGAGAATCAAGGACGATATTAACTATCTCTAGGCAGTTCATTAAAATGATAGACACCAGCTGGCTCCAAGCAGCCCCCTTTCTCTCCTTGATTGCCGCTGCCTACTAATCAATTTGATAATGTAGACAGAGTAATGGAACACCAAGGAATGGAAAGTAATAAATCTCATGACTACCAGAAGGGTTACATTGTCAGAGCTATTCTGAATGATGCATAAGAGTAGTTCAGGGCTGAGACTCATTTTCCATCATTTAACTGTGAAAGGAAGAGGAGGAACTAAAAATAAAAGTTCTTTATATATTCCTGTTTTCAAAAAATGATTGCGAATTAAAACCATTCATTTGACTTCTTATCCACACATAAGGGTATTCTCTTTCTTGTAGGTCAATTTCCCTTTGCATCACACCCCTTGAAATAGCTTTACTCTAATACAGTGTTCTTTGGTAGAGAATGAACTACCCAGTTGACTATATAATTAACATTATGTTCATTAAACATGAGCTGTTGGACTTAATAGTTCTAATCAAAAACAGCATTGGATATTTGTTACTCTTTTCTATGTCGAAAAGATTCACTATAACATGTATTATACATCATTAAAATAAAACAAAATTTAAGTCTGTATAATTAACAGAGAACATCAAGAAGCACCAATAAATTACAGTATTAGGGGCCTCTGAAAATACTGATCAAATATAATTCCTTTATAGTAATGAATCCAGCATTCCCAATAATAAGCTGTAAAACATTTGATTTAACATCAGTTTCTCTCTATGGTATTCCCTGTGTTATTACAATTTATGTATGATGCAGGCAAGAAACACCAGAATATATAAATCAGCTATAAATATACAATCAAAGGGATGGTTCCCAGAATCATGAAAATGCCATTCCAGGCAGACTTGCACATGATTTAAATGAATATATTAGAGAAAATATGTAACAACCCTGGAAAAGCAAATACACATTTAAATTACAAATTTTTTTTATTTAATAATGACCCTATAATTAAGTGCTTCTCAAGAGGGTAAGAAAATTAATTATTCCAAATCTCACCAAGATTTCTAACAACAAAACAAAAAATTAAAGTGATGATGCCTAGCACAGTATTTACTTTTCAAAAGGAGGAATACTTTTAGGATGGGTCATTATGTACAATCTTCAGAACAATTATGGAATTTTTAAAAAGCAAATGAAAACATATACTAGAATACAGATGCAATTTCAGCAACAACAAATGAGGCTGCTTCTAGATCCTAATGGACAAATTGGCATCTTCTGTTTGAATCATAGGCTATTTAGGATAATGTTTCCATTTGTCTGATAGAGTGCTCAGTTCTAAAACAGTCACTATGCATGCTGAATCATGGTGAGCATAGTTAGGGACTATTAGATGGCGCAATAATTCTTCAGCTCTAAAAACCCAGCATCTTGGAAGTTTTGCTTCACAAGCTATCTTGTCATGGTGAGACTGAGCTTTCAGCTCCAGCCCAAGTAGAACTTCTCATCTCTCCCTCCTCACAGGATTCAGCATCTGCAGTCCTATCACAATCACCTTCCTTTCAATCCTAAATTAGAACCATCTCGTGTTCTTTTTATTGTTTTCTTTAAATCATCAACATTGTTGTCTAAACTCTATAAAGTCTCTATCATAACATCCCAATAGTAACTAATATCTTATTTTCTACACACACACACACACACACACACACACACACACACACACGGAGAGACAGACAGACAGACAGACAGAAACAGAGACAGAGACGGAGACAGAGACCAAGAGAGCAAGAGCATGTGAATACACTCTCAAGCAATTTACAGTAGTAGGATTCTTCATTTTATATGCACTCATTCACTCACTGAATTGACAAATGGCACATCAATATATAAGGCTCCACTTTAGGCCTTGATATTATAAGATCAATATGTGATCCAGAGGCTGGAGGACCAAAAGACACCAGAGTCTACTGGAAGAAAGGATAACAGAGAAGTTTTCAAATGTACTTATTATTACACAAAAACATTTTGCTAGTATCTTTTTCTATTTGACAGATCTATTATTAAAAGTCTGTAGGGCATTACATAATATGGATAAATCACATTTTATTTACGGAATGTTGATTCTGATGGACATTTAGATGGTTTCCAAACTTTCTGATCTGTAGAGACTGTAACAACTGTCTCTGCCTCAGAGAACTGCTGAGGACTTAGAGAACAAAACAGTACTGAGCACAGTATTTGACACATAAAACACTGAGTAAAGTCCACCAGTTCTTGCTGCTGTTTTATTTGCAGGTATCCTCTCTTCTTTGCTGAGATTTACTGTTCAAATGTGTGCCATTCAAGATGGAACTGACTTCCACCACGCTGATATACAAACCGTCCATTTTTCTATTTTTATATAGCTGGTCTTTGTCCAAAGAGTTCCAGACACCCATTAAAATAAACCCTCAGGTGGTATACATTCTTGTTTCATGCTGCTGTCTGAAGGTCTGTCTCTCCCACCAGCCAAACTCATGCATGGTGTTTTAACCTTGAAGTGATGCCATTAGGAAAGGCAGTGTCTTGGGGGATGGGATCCTTATGAACAGGATGGGCACCATTACAGGAGGGTGGAGAGAGATTCCTTGCTCTTTTTACCATGTGAAGACAGCGAGAAGACAATCATCAGCCAGAAATAATCATAACTAAATGTATACACATTTACATACACGTTACAAAAATGTAACAAGTCATATTGTTCTTATGATTGAAAACCAACAACTTACAGTTGGAAATAATTCTAGTTCAAAGTTTTCATTTTTATAAAGTTGAGTTGTATTTTTTTGTATATCTCATTGTGGTAACAAAAAAATAAATTTCACCATTTTAATCATTTTTCATATTTAAACATGCCCACTAGCTGGGTACCATCTGTGTTAGAGCTGCAATTCACCTTGTTTAACATTTAAAGCTACAGTAATCAAGACACTACATGTACATCTAGATTCTGGATTCCGGTTTTTGTTACTCAAATTAGAGTAAAGTATAAGGCTGAGAGATTTACACTTGCGAGTTATAAGTAAAATTGTACGAAACTTTCAAAGGAAACTTGAATGTGAATATGCCCCTAGATTTTCTTCCCTTTGTTTTTTTTAATCAACTTTTTCAGTAGACAATTCATTCATAAGGTTCAAACATTTAAAACTTGTAAGAAAGTTTTCAGGGAATGTCTTTTCTGCCCAATTTGCTCATTCTTTGCCATCTAACAGCCAGGTAATTGCTATGATTACTCATCTCTCTTTCTTAAATTTCTCCACACCTATAAAAGCAAGTGACAGTATACGTTCTCACATCTCTATACAAAAAGCAGCATACTCTCAGTACTTTTTCCGTTTGGTAATTATATATCATGATGCTTTAATTTTTGACATCAGCATGCCTTCATATTCACTCTATTTAATATTCTATTTTGTAGCTATACCATACTTACTGATGTCACCTTTTCACATTTTCAATCACTTAATAATGAATTTATTGTGCTGAAATCTCTGGAAATTATTATGATTACATGGTGGTACCATTAAACACCCCATTTTAATTTTACTTTTAAGAGAGGAAAAAGCACTCAATCCAAACAATTCAGAGGCATCATTACTACTAGATTATTTGAATCAATACAAAATTATTTTCAGAAAGGTCAGTAGGATGGATTTTTATAAGTGGGGCAGTAGAAGGTCTGAATCTTTTCTAGAAGGATGAAAAGATGCACAGTTGTTTACTGACAACTTATTCACAGAAATAATACAACGACTTGTTGGTAAGATTTGTCTCATTATTTTACTGCCTATTCTAGTCTTATAGTTTGGTTTAGAATGTTAAGAATGTTAATACGGGGAGAACATGGCAGACAGATAGCAGCAGCTACGGAGGCTCTCTGAAAGACCCAGCTTAGAATTCAAGAATGGTGTGGAGTAAGGAATCATAAGCAAGTGGAAATATGCCCTGCTGACCCAAGAACGAACTGGGCTGAGAGAAACCAACTGGGAATGCAATCCTGGTGCTATAACAGGAACAGAAAAGCCTCAGTGTGGAAGCTAGAGCCTGCGGCATTGGAAGCCGCAATTAGGGTTTCCCGCCGCGCGGCGGCTGCGTCTACATCAGCTCGGCAGGGAGAGAGATGAGCGGAAGCTCTGAGAACGGGAATTGGCGAACGGAGTTGAAAGCAGGATGGGCGGGGAGCTGTGCATTGACTTGCGGGGAGGTGAGTGAGAGAAACTGAGGCTCTTCCACAGTTTAGGAGACTCCAACAGAGGATATTCTGGGACTGGGCAGACTTGCGGGAACAGGGCGCTGCAGTGACTTCAGCCATGTATCCCCCGCTCAAGCGGGATTGGTGAGAAGTGCCTAGCCCACGTGGCGCTGCTGGCCGAGACCCAGTAGGCTAGCACAACCCAGATCCTAGCGCCTGACAGTGGCCTGGAGGGGCGGGCCCCACGTAGGCTGCCTGGTCTGCAACTTCCTGGTGTGCTGCGGTGGGCAGGAACACCTAGCCGGCGCAATTCAATCAGACTGTGGCTGACAGGGAAGGAAGCTGGGCCTCCTATATACGCTTGCATATGTAAGGAACAAAGAATATGGGAAGAGGGAACAGCAAGAAAGGCCCTTCGTCCCCCAATCCTGAGAAACAGGCAATAGCGGACACCGCACCAACAGACATAAAGCGCCATCTCAAGAGCCTCATAGATGAGTTCAGAAATGAAGTTATTAATGACCTGAAGCTAGAAATAAGCAGAATAGTTAGAGAAATGCTAAGCACCACCCAAGAAAAAACAGATGGTGGAATGGAAGAACAGAAAAAGAGGGGAGAATTGTTTGATGGAGAAAATAGAGAAAACATAGAATACGTGAAGCAGGTTCAAAGAGACTACCAGGAAACTAAAAACTCTATCGAAAATTG